GCTCAAAAATGTTAGAGATAACAGTCACGTATGCGATCAATGAGTTCCCCTTCCCTGCAAAAGCAAGCCGAACCCCATAATAGAATTTGTATTGGCTGTAACACAGATGCATTAGCTTAATGTACTTTCTATCAAATAGAGTGAAAAGTATTGGGACAGTTATCGGGCTTAAAACCTAATACAAATGAGCATGCATCCTTTAATATAGAGATTTACCCTCTCACACTTGTTTCTATGGCAGGGTAGAAGTTAACTTATGAATGTATACTGCCTGTTTCTTCCTGCTTTCCAGGTTCTGTCAGAAACTAGTAGAAATTAAGTTAGAGGCATCTGGGTGGGTTATGAACAACATGGGGAAAAGATAAGACCAGCAAAAAATCTGTTGTACTGAAGAAATCACACTGGCTAAAAGTTATTTAAAAAAGATGCTAGGATTTTTTAAAGTGGTTAATTAAAACAGAAGGTATCTGTTACAGTGATTCTTACTGTAGGTTTCACTGTACCTTCGTTTTCATACTTTGTTTTCCTATCCCTTGGCCTGTGTTACTTTATCAGGATAATCTTTTCTAGGGTGTTTGAGTAATAAGATTAATTAAAACCTTAGAAATCACTAGGTTCCTGAGCATAGTTTGCTTAATTAAAATTTTTATAACTCCTCTGTTTCTTAACAGGATGATGAGAGACAATTTCAACAATTAAAATGATTACATTGTGGATCCAAAGGTAAAAAGTAAATCACTTTAAATGTTGTAAGGGTGGCAAGTGGAAATATCAAGGATTTTCTTAGAATATTCCAGCATTGAACAATAAAACAAGGGAGTGAAAATGTTTGGTTAAAAAAAAGCGTTTTGCTTTCTATACCTCTGGTGTGAAGACGAGCACATATTCAATGAAGAGATCTGTTTTTGTACACGTGATCAGCTCTATTCTTTGTACAGATTTCTCAAGGGAGAATGTAACTTTAAGCTGGTTGTCACAGGCAGTTCCCAAGGGGCTGTGTAGGAAGCCAGGAAACAGAATTTTGACAACATACACAACAGATCTAGAAAGAAGTGTACATTACTCGGAGTGAACGTGCTCAGAAGGGGCGTTCTTCTGTCTCTCAGGTGCAACCTTTCACTCTGGAACTCTCTGCAGCAAGTTATTGTTGAGGCAAAGGATGTAGCAGGTTCCAAAAAAGGGTTAGATATTTGTATGTATAATGAAAATATCACTCATAGTTGTATTTCTTGTTATAAATGATTTTAAAAGTTATCACCCCTTCTGTTTCAGGTAATAAGGCAATGATTGACAGTGGGTACATCTACACATACCAATGCTGCTGGATGGGCTTACTCCAGAGTTATTTACTCTGGCGTAAACCCACCCTGGGCAGGAGTCTACATGTACATGCATTTGGGAGCAGATTTGCTTCCAATGGGAGCAGCTAGGAGAAGCCTGCTCCCACCCTGGTCTGCCCCCCTGCAGCAGGCTCTAGGCTCCCCCTGGGTGCTAGCCCAGGGGCTGGCAAGGGGTACAGGGCCAGGAGACAGCTGTCTCCAGAAGGGGGTTGGGAGATTGCTCCCTGCCCCTGGGACCTGCCTGCTGCCCCAGGGCGGGCTCTAGTGGTGGAGCCTGGGTGGGGACAATGTGCCTTGCCCCAGCAGCAGGGAGATCCTGCCCCCAGCTCCCTAATCCAGGGGTAGGGGGCTTGGAAAAAGTTGTGGGAGAGGGGCAGGTCTGAACCCCCTGCCCTTCTCCACTGGTGGGGCAGCTAACAGTGAGCCCCTGGCTGGGCAGGGATTCCCTGGGCCAGGGCCAGGATTCCCCACTGCAGGGCTGAGATCTGGCCCAGGCAGGGACAGTTCCTGGCCAGCCCTGGGCTGCATATGGAAGTGTGCATGTGCAGCCCTTCCCTTTGCAGCCCAGGGCTGTCTGGGAACTGTCCCAATCTGGGCCAAGTTCCAGCCAGCTCCAGGCTGGGCAGGGAACTATCCCCATGCAAGGAGCTCCTGGGCCCCGCTCCACGATTGTGGAGTGGGGGGTGGGAGCTCCCTGCTGCTAGGGCAGGGGGACACTGTCCTTGCCCAGGCTGTGGTGGTGGAGCCCGCCCCAGGAGCAAACAGCTTCTGGTGGCAGTAAGCTGTTTCCTGCCCCCAGCTGCCTGGCTGACTGGGAGCAAATTTGCTATTTGGCAGTTAATTTGACACTTGTATTTGCAGGCAGCAAATTAACTGCTGAGTAGAGCAAATTACTGTGCAGTGAGGGTCTCCCTGTGTAGATGGTGATGCTTACTAATGCAGTAATTTTCTCTACCACTCAGCTAATAACTTCCCCTACAAAGGCTATTGCCTACATTGTATGTTATATGGCTTGTACCCTTTCCTTTGATGCATCTGCTCCTTGTCAATGTCTAAAACAGGATCCCAGACTGGAAGGATATAATCTAGACAGGATGGACAGGGCCCTCCAACTTTGTAATGGCCTACTACAGGCAGAGGTCCCAGAAAAATGGGAGCATACCTGCCTCAAGCCTTTTAGAAGAATTCACAAGCAATAAAAAAATATAAATCACATTAAAAATCAGTGCTGAACTCCTGCCAAAACTTCAAATGACTTCAAGGAGGCCAAGATTTCCCATGGACTCCATTCCCCAATCATAGCTGATTATCAGAGAAAAAAAGGCCTCTCTCTTTAACTGTTGTCTACTCTGTAGCATGCCTAGGAGGTTTCAGGAATGAGATCCTGAAGATTAGTAGTATTTTGAGAGAAGTGGGAAAGCATTAGTACACAAAAGGGGCTGGTTTGTGTGTGTATTGTGGGATTATATATGCCATGAGTCTCTTAAAAATGTCTGAAACAATTGCAGAACCATGTGCTCAGGGGCTGCTTTCAATGGTCATGTACAGTTCTTCACATCTCTGAGAGCCTGCTGGCTCAGAGGAGGAGAGACTGCTTGGCAATCAATAGAGCCACTTGTACATGTGACGGGGGTTTAGTTCTCCCTAAACTGAAATGCTGGGTTTTTAATTGGTGGGTTTTTAATTGTGTTGATTAAAAACCTGTTTCAATTTAGGGACTTCCATTACCATGACAAAATAATGACGCTCCCTGTCAGCTCCCCTCCCCTCCCCTCCCCTCCTCCCACCGCTGCTGCTTCTGCCAGAAAAAAAAAGCAGTGAGGGGCCCAATCCTTCCCCCCCCCCCCCCCCCCCCCCACCCTCCTCACC